GACCTGAAAAATCAGGGGTTAGGATTTGCACCCGGTCGAAAGAAACCTTGCTATCGCAAGAGTAACTCCAGCTAGCTTCGCTAGCTTTCGTGATTAATATGAAGTGTCATTTCATCCAAGAATGTGGAAAATTTCATCACTTCAACGATATGATCCTGGGGACTTCTTGTATGGTATGCTCATAACGGTGTTTGCATCCCAACCAAATTACTGCACTGCACTGCATCCCAGCTGCACACTTGCATCATCTTACAGCCGCTCAGGTAAAGCAGGACAGCGAGCATCCTTGAGCAGCACCTGGGACGGTCCTCGGCGAATGCTGTCAGAGATGGAAGCCCTTCACGAGGTCTTGCGGTTTATCTGGGAAGCTCACCCACAGCAAAAACAAAAGCATCCAGAACAAATTCAGTGACTTGGAAATTCATTTCGATTTCATTTTCACACGGGATCCCTTCAATTGAGAATTGAAATTGCTTCTTTTTTTAGTCTGTCGAACTTACTACTTAGTTATGCCTGACAACTTCAACACCACCACTTGTTACTTTAGAACTCAGAATCTCAGAAAATATCTTGAGATGATGCCCCTAAAATCGTGACACCGGCAATCGAGGCCAACCAGTTTCATCAATTTGCAGATTGACAAGATCCTGGATGAACGATTCACCCCTGAAACAGGATTGCGTGAAGCTCAGCCGAGTAGCAAGGAAGAGCCACCTTCAGCCAGCAAGCGCCGCAGGACGAAGTAGTTAGGAAAAAGACCAGAAGTGTTCACATGTCTACTTACGACTACTAACTACTACTGATTTACCAGACCACTGTTCAACTAACTGAGAACCTAGCAACACCTACAATAAGAACCCAGCTAGCTAGCAACTAACTAGCTCTCTTGAGACACGCCATCTCTGCGGAAGCTTCCTGGTTGGTGGAGTCACTGGCTGGCAAGGACTTTCACGCAAAAGGCATGGACCGAGTTCTCTTAAAGAGAAAAGGCACCGGCCGGCGGCAGTGTATGATTCCATGATGTAACAGTTTTCCCAAAAACACCAATCGTAACACGTATTCCTTTATAGCCTTTTATGACCTTGAACAGAAGCCATTTTTATTGCCAACAGGGTTGCAGTAAAGAAGCATGCCCTCCCTCCTAACAAGTCTGTCTTCACATTTGAGTCATATAGACCAAATATCCCTACAAAATGATATCAGATGCTATCAGGGCGCCTTGCATCTCTACAATATGCTGCTTCCACACTTGACGGCAAGTCTCTACAAAATGCTTCCAGAGATTCTCTACTAAATGCGGTGGGAGACTGCCAAGCACTGTCTGGGAATTGAACTTCTTCGGGCAATCATACGCAGCATGGGTGAGGTCTGTGGCTGTGAGAGCAAATGAGCTCGTAAAGCTCCGTGTTGCCGGGGTCTTCCCACACTGAACCTCTACAACATGAGACGTGTTTTTTCTACAAAATGACATGTAATGACATGTAAAATGTGTAAAAATTGATGTAGGGCCTTGGCATCGTTTTTCCTCTACACAATGCATGACATGGGGTACCCTTAAAGACCTCTCTCTACAAAACGACGTTGAACTAAAAATGGCGATCATTTTGTCGACCAAATGTGGTGTCTAAAAAATGACCTGCTGATATAGGGCCTCAAGGCCCACCATGCTGTAGAGGAAATTTAACGGGGATCTAAATACCATTATTGTCAGTTATCATCAGTTATATATCCATTGTATAAATCGCGTCTATTTAATCTCGTTTGTGTACTATTCAGCCACTGGTTCTGAACCCTTTGCCGCCGAGTGGCTGGGTGGCAAACTGTTCTGATCGAAGCTCAATTGGCCACAGCGCTCGGCGGAGAAGAACTCCTCGAACGCCGCGGAAGTACCGCTGAATGTTCCTGCGGATACGACGAGGTGCAGCCAAGAGGTTTAAAGACAGTGTGCCCGGTTTAAAGTCTGTCTGATATTAGGTGCATGCATACAGATTAGGTGTGAGCGCAAGAGAAGGACTTATATAACATCTAGTACATCCACGTTTTGCATACGTGTGCGAGTCCAATTCGGGTCCGACTCGGTCTGAGAATCGTTTTGGAGATCCTTCTCCCGGATACAAATGCCCTCAGGTGATTGGCACTTTGTAAATGTAGGCGCCAGGAGGGTCCAAACACTTTCTGTATATATTATTATATAAATTCCACACATATATCATATATATATATATTATTATATATAGTATAAGATAGTATAAGGAGCTACTTGGACATGTGGGGCCCTGAGCTCTGAACAAAGCGTCTCAAATCACGACCGGTGGCACTCAAACGACAGCAGTCTCGACCTGCACCTATGGCTAGGATCCACAGCCATGCCATGCCAAGCACCATGCCATGCCATGCTCGCTGAATGCACTCTGGTGATGCTAAAATTATGCATGCACGGTAGCTATAAGAATACAGTATATGTTGTGACAAATATTAACTGATCATTGCAGGAGTTTGTGGCCAAAAGACCTCCTATAGGCCTACAGCAAACCGTCAATTTGGTCTGCCAACATCACGTTGATGTGCGCAAACAATGCCAACATTGACAGCTTGGAATGTACGAAACACATTCTAACCTTTCTTCAAGCTTCCACCATGGTCTTCACAAACATGCTCGGTGTCTTGGGTGGTGCTACCTTAGATATCCGACCCCTGTCGCATTCTCCTTGTCGTCTCTGGCGCCCAAAGTTGGGAGCCAATGGACGTGCACGTGGGCAGGATATGGCAGGATGTGGATCATGGACTTACCAGCTCTTGATGAACTGTTGACCAACTCAATTGCATCCACATGGCATCAATATGGGTGTGAATTAAAATAGGCAGACCTCCCAAAAACCTCCGGTAAAAAGGAACATAGACCCGTCTACTCATTGGCTGGGTGTCGTCATTCTAATTGAGACACACCCATGTAATTCCAAGTAAAACATAGTAAAACATCTCTTCCGACCACTGACAACCCCGCTGGCCTCCACCTTTGGATCCTGGCAGCGGATCCCGACCGAAGCGCGAAGGCGTCTCAAGAAGCCATGGGGCCGTGATGTGCCATGGGCTTCGCCTCGTCGGTTTGGGCGCTTTGCCCCCCAAGGATCCTTAGCCCAATTCCTTGGACAATTCCCAACCAGGGCGTTCAGATTGTTCGGCCAACCTCCCGGAGAAGGTTCACCCCACCAGGGAGACCACGTTCATCCACTTAGTGGAGAAGACCTGGGGAAGGGGCGTGCCGGCATGTACTGCAAATCAGCCGTTTCAAGGCACCAAATGAGCCATGAAGCGCCCTCGTGAGGGAATCCGGGGATCGTTTTCACCCTTGTTCGATCGCCCCGGGACCGCGTGAAGGCGCTGTAGCAGTCTCACCTTCCTGAAGATCTGAAGTTTGGAGAGTAGGTTGGGACGTGGACAAGCCTGCTTTGAGGCAGTTGGGGCCGGGCCAAAACTATCCAAAACTATATACTATATATATATTATATATAATTCTGTGAGTCAATCCATGCCCCTCTTGGAGCCAGGATCAAGAAGTTGAAAGTTGAGATCTTTGAGCAGCAGAAATCTAGATTCACTAAGCCACGATCAGCTGGTCACACTGCGCATCCGAGAGTGGCCATGGATTTCAAACGGATCCCCGCATCTCCTTTGTTTTTTCGCCAACCTCCACCTCCACCTCCACCTGCGCCACGCTAAGCTTGCGCGCGTGGAACAACGGGTGGTCTTCTCAGCGCATCCGCACGACATGCGAGTTCATCTTTGAGGGCCCCCGGAATTCAACAGGAAAAAAAAAACAAACAAACAATCATGCGTTGTCATGGCATCTGAACGACCGTGGTTGAGGCCAGTAAGTAGACCTGGACAATTAAACGCGCTATCCGCGTTGAAATGGGACATCTGGGGACGTCCTCTCCCTGCATGTAGGCATGTGATCAAACAAATCATCTATAGAACGCACAAATGAACATCGCATTGGTACGCAAGTTGGTACGCACATGAACTCACACTTGAGTTCCAAGAGTAGCCAAAAGGCTATGAAGCCCTGCGTGCAGGGTGATGCTAATGCCTAGCTAACGCGTTTGATTGCCAATTGGTCAAGTTCGCAAGGGCCAGGAGGCTTGCAGGAGCGCCTTGGGTTTTTTGGTGGTGGTTGTCCTGGCCAGGAGTCTTGCAGGAGTCGAAGGTGGGACAAAGGCACCCTGCGACCGCCCGGTGTGACACCAGGACGGTGATTTTTTGTTCATCATGTCATATGGGGCGTCACCCAAAAGAACATAAGCTATGAAACCCAGCTGTTCTCTCTCTCTCTCTCCTACAGAGTTTAACTGACACATTCATCTCAGTTTGAGACCAAGTAAGCCCAAATTAAACAGGAAAGCAAAATTCCGTCAACAGGTAGCTGTTGTAGAAGATCCACTGCCAGTACTAAACAACCACTTTTAAAAAAAGGTTCCGACAGAGCTCAAGCAAGCAGCAACTGCAACATGTCGCTTGCTTGGAGTTCTGGCGTCGCGTCGCGTGAGCCCCCACACGTGATGCCGGCTACCATTCACCCAAATTCACCCCGTTGAACCAGGCGTTTTTGGGGGGGGCACTGGATGGCACTAGTGCATGTTCTTTGATTGGTTGCCTCCTACTCTGTGCCCGGACGATATGATGAATTCTCAGAAAAAAACACCCCCGCGGATTCAACCAGTCCGAGTCCTGCCAGTGCTCTTCATCTTCATCCCATTCCTCTGCCCACTCTTCTTCGCCCCAGTCTTCTTCGCCCCAGTCTTCATCTCCTGTGCGCGGTGTTGCTCTGGCCATCCTTTCTTTCGCATACATCACTCACCACCGATTGGTGGCCATTGAAGCAGTGCTAACTGGCTTTCCCCTCCCCAAATGTACAGGTATATGTCCTGTTCTATGTCCTCAATATGGGTACCCTCTCTCTCTCTCTCTTTTGTCTATGGACTCACACTTACCTGTCCGGTCACCTCTCCTGCACAAAGTTCGCTGCAACCACCTCCTGTTACAGTTACACAGTAACATATATGAGCAAACTATCGAATCTATAGCACTACGAAAAGGTTGATGGGGACATTCTTGGCACAAGCTTGAGTGAATTCAGCAAAACCTTCGGCAAAAATCCAAAACACGTGTTATTAATATATTGCAAATACGTATTAAGAACACAATAAGGGTGGGTTGAGAACGACACACTTGTTCAAGCAAGGTCCTTAATTGTGTGATTGGCCTGGATTTGAAAGGGCAAATCTACATTTGCCTCACAGGTATGGTCGTCGTGTGAATTTTCTGGTTGGCATCTGGGAGAGGATGCACCACGAGAGGATGCCGCCCGTGGCGCCGACGACGTGCCTTCAGAAATGGCTGCATCGGGCACGGCTGGACGTGAGGCTCAAAATCGAAACTGCCATGGAGCATCTGGCTGGTGCAAAGGAGAGTACAGTCTCGAGACAAAATTAACAACTTTTCTTGACCGCCCCAGTGCGATGGACGACCGACGACGTAATGGGACGTGGACGCCCCCGAAGGCGTTTGTATAGTCCTCCCCACTCTTCATCAGCATCAGGCTGCCATTGCCAGTAACCACCACCAGCTGGCCCTGGTGCGGAAACGCAGCCAAACTGCTAGCCCTAGTCTTTGGACCACAAAGATCCAATGGCATGGTTTCATCTGGTTTCTTTGCATTCGTTGTAGTACCATCTTGCCACAGGTTCCCCGAAGGTTCCGAATGCTTCCACCACCTAGGTGACATCCAAATCTCAATCACTCATCAACATCCTCACCCCACCCACAGCCCCAGTCTTGCTTCACCGGGGACAAATCAGTCTTGCTTCGCTCGTGCACACTCTGGAGTGCCTGCCTGAGGCTTGATCATTCCAATTCTGTTGACCACCTCCTGGCGCTTGGCAAGTCCACAGGCTCGCAACTACTGTGGGCACCTACCAGGCATCTACTAGCAACACTCTGCTGTGCTTGAGCGTTTGTCCAGCCATTTCTGAGAACAACACTTCCCCAATCCTTCACCCGATCCTCCGGCGCCCCGCTATTCATTCTCCAAATCGTCCGAGGTCACCCGGACCGGTCGATCATCTTCCTCCCCCCCCTTTCGCCGCAGGGGGGGTTCAGAAGCTTCGTACCAAATAGACCATCCCATAGGTACCCCAGTAGGGTCCTATGGTCACTTAACCTCTCTTGGTAGTGCCCAGACCACCCTCTTCCCCCCCCCGCGTCCAAACGACGCGAGCCGCAACGACCGAGCCTTGCCACTTCTTCCCCCAGACCTGCACCTGCCGGCTTCCTGGCAGCCGATCGAGGCTCCTGCTGTGCTTGCTGTGCTTGCTGTTGCTTCATGCTTGTTCGTCCTTTCTTGGCCCGTCCGGGGCACCCTTGACGATGATTTGTCTTTTTCGTACTTTTGCTTTGTGTATGGCATTCCTTTCGCGCGATGTCTTTTTGGGGGACCGCATTGACCGCCCCACCGTCGACCACCGTAGACGTCTACGCTGAAGAATCGGACGAAGCTGTCACCTTGGATCCCTACGGCCTGGGACACCTTCCAATGAACTAGATGGACCCCTCGGGATCTTCGAGTTCTTGGAACTTGCGGGTGACAAATGAGTGGGATCTCCAATCAAACAGGCCGGAGAAGGAAGGCCGAGGAAGGTCCTCCAAGCCTTCCAAATTGGGTCGACCTTGAAGTGGCTTTCATATGCTTTAAAATGATGAAACATCATTTGGTTGCAAGCAGCTGGCATTCCTTCCCAAGTGTCCTTTAAAATAGTTCGATTAGGGAGGACAAGGTGTCCTTCCGATTGCATGCAACTAGTAAAAAAGCTGAGTGCTTTGGCTACAATGCAACACCTCCCATCACATTCCTGAATGACAAACGTTGAGAAGAAGCATGGGCACAGGAATGGCTTGCAACACCCATTGACAATCCGCAACAACTCGACCACCATGAACATCAACATCTACTGGGTTAACGGTTAGTGTTTGAAACATTTCCAGAGTAGTCAGTCATGCATCCAGCACCATGACGTGTCTTGATGCGTCTGTCTCCATGATTTACAGCAATTACCAGCAACTCGTCGATGACCTAATAGGCACACTCTACACAAAGCAAGTGCTTTGTAAAGCTTTCCATCAATGATGAAATGGATCATCCGTTCGAACCAACGTCGACCAAACGACTTGTGGGTGAATCCCTTAGACGCCATGGGTTCTAGTTGATCAGGATTGGACCGATACGGCCGCGAAAAACCCACGGCCAACACGAGGAAAAACGAGGAACGACCTGCGTGGCGCGCCCTGGCGCGCGCCCTGCGCGCGCCCTGCGCCTCCTTGCTTGAAGGGAGGCATGGCGTTCTACGACCGATGAAAAAGGAACTTGAGACTC